ACCCATTTAATATTACCGACACTAGCATGGCCTAATACCAATACTTTCATTTCTTCAGCCCATTTTAAAGAAGAATTCTGGGATACTTCTGCAAACATGAGCTTTCCCCTGAGTCTAAGTGTTTTGGAAGCACTTGCCTTTAAATGTGTTATTCGACCTTTCTTTGCACTTGTTTTCCATCCTTTGATCTGTTGTGATGATGTGGGTTTAGTGTCAGAAAGACTCATGGCCTTCATAGAATCAAAAAGTTTAAGAGCCGGAAGGGACTGAAGGTCATCTCATCTCTTAGATAAGACCCTGAGGCTCAGAGAGGAGGGTTGGCATTCCAAGGTCACACAGCTGGCTAGGGGCAAAGCTGGGACCAGAGTCATAAGCTCTGGCTAAGATGGTGGCCAGCCTGGGACACAGGTGGCTGCTGATACTGAATCCGCAAAAATCAAGCCTTTCACTTTCAGTGCAGACTTGCTCACCTTCTATTAAGTGGCTTACATTTTAGGTTTGTTTTTAGTGTCAATAGAGTGGTGCACATCGTGCAATAATAGAAAAGTAAATACTTAATCAAAGCAGATGCTGTACATTCTGATGAAAGCCTCCAGGGAGGAGGTGTAGGACCCACGTGAATAATCCTCATTAAAACATAGATCAGACTGCATTTAAAGGGCTCTGCTCAAGGCAGACGGAGAATCTACCCAACTGAACAATGTGTTGGTGAGCCTAACTCATTGTCTTAGATTATCCTCTTAAACCAGGCATTAATTCACAAATTAGGAATAAAAACCCAAATTTTCCCAGACTCTTGGGTAGCAATGAGCCCAATCCTCATTTAAAACGTAAGGTGGCAATGACACTTGATGCAGTAACACCCAAGCCAGGATCTGTCTAATAAAGTGAATTTTTATACGAATGTTCGCATATAATCAAGAATGATAAAATAAACAAAAGGCTACACTGCACATATGAATGTAACAAATGGTCTTATGTGCACATCTGATTATGTCCTTTAAATTGATCATGAGATACTTATACACCTATCTATATACATACACACGTTACCATCATTTTGATTGTGACCAAGTGTACACTTTGAACACCTTTCATAAAAGGGCCCCCTTTGCTGCAGTACAAAATGGAAATAAGGCAAAATAAGGCTGATATCAGATTGACGGATATTAAGGAGGTAAGTGAGTGTAATATAAGTCATCATAGGATCAGAGCCAATGTGAGCATATAGTGCACTAGAATCATGCGTGAGTGCAGTACTGAGTTAGTGAATGTGAAAATATTTTAGACATGTAAGTCAGACTAGTAAAATGGTTTGCAATTTTATGTTACATATACTGAGTGTTTGGATTGAGAGGGTGACACAATGATTAACTATAAAATATGACATTTTAATTTTGAAGGGAGTTAGCATGTGCTCTTGGCTGAGTGGGCTGCAGTGGAACCTGTGGGCAGCTGGAAGGTGACAGCAGCCCAGAGACATGTCTTAGATAAAGGCCATGTTTTCAGCATGAACAACCAGGGAATCTACCAAACAGAAATGATACTCAAAGTCAAATTATGCTGCCTAATTAATAAATAAGTGTAGCATGAAACACAGGCAGTGTCCTGACTATGGTGACAAACCAGGAATGTGAAAGACGTATAGGAGTCAACAGTGAATGTTCAAGAACTGTCTGAGGTGAAAAGGCACAGGATGAAGGTTTTGACAGCGATGCTGAAAACGACGACGTCTGGTCTCAGGTGTCCATAGATGGACTCCAACAATTGGCTAGTATGAGTGAGAGTAGATTCGGGTATGTGTGTGAAGAAACAGACAGGGAGAGACAGAGAAAGAGAATATGAACGTGGGAAATAACCAAATGTTGTCTAAACTGTTAATAATATTCCACATATTCTATCTGCTGCTGCTTGGCTTCAACTCTGCCTGAGACATCATAGTAAATATATTTTCTTTATGTTTATTTATTTATTACTTAGACCCACATATTATAAACTTTTCTGTAATAATCATTGCATAATAGTAAAAATAGGTTCAGCAATTTCCCAATTTCATTTCGTACAGGCATTAAGTTTGATCTAATTTTCATTCCTCATGCAACAGCAGTTTTCTGTTTTACAAGAATAGCCTCACCCTTCCAACACCCTTTTTTCCTTTGAGAGGGATTTTACATTTTTTTTGAAAGGCAGAAGGCAAGAGAACCTCTCTTGCTCAACCCTCCTGGCTCCCTTCCAGTCCTTCCTCCATCCCAAGTTTCACACATCTAACCCTTGCTGCTGCTGGTCACCTAGGCAACGGAGCAGCTTGCAGGATGGTGCAGGTCACAGGATCCTAGGAGGAGGAGGGTCTCAAGGCTTAAGACTTGCTCCTTCTATTTTAAAAATGTTTCTGTTCTTTCTTCTATACCCAGGCTTCTGATCTCTCCATCTAGGCCCTCTCTTCTCTTGCTAGTTCCAAGGCTAAGAGGCCTCCTTGTCTATGGCGGCTTCTGCCATTCCCTCCATCCTCCATTACTGAAATTGCTCTGCCTGATATTGTCATCTCTAGGCTCAAAGCCCTTCAGTGCTTCTCCACTGCTCTCTGCAGAGGCAGGGCACCCATGGAGCAGGGCAAACAATGCCCTTCCCATTGACTCTTCCCTGAGATATCACAAGCTTTAGCCACACTGAATACACTCTGCATTCTTCTCTCCCAGCACTTGGTTTCCCTAACGTAAATTGTCCTTACTGCCACTTCTCTGACTGGAAAGCTTCATTCTGTTTTCCATTAAACTACTTAAACACTACTGTCCTGTGAAAACTTACTTGACAACTCCAGGCAAAGTTAGCGGCTTTTTCCTCTAGGCTCTCATTGCATTTTGTATCCAGTGCTTAGCTGGCTGCATCCTAATTATCTGTGTGTCTGTCTCTTTAAAAGGACACTGCATTTCTTGCAGGTGGGGATGCTTTCCAGTCCATTTGAGTTCTTTCTATAGTGTCTGGCTCAGAGCTCCAGAAACACTTTTGAATGGATGAGTAAGTGAATGAATGACTTAATAACCAAATACTGTGGAGTGGAAAAGAAGAATAAAATCTAAGAAAATGTCATACTTTCCAATGAAAGGAGATTACTATTGATGATTAAGAGGGCCGTTCTAATAAAAAAGTGAGGCCGACCGCGGTGGCTCAAGCCTGTAATCCCAGCACTGTGGGAGGCCGAGGCGGGTGGATCAC